ACAACAGCTGGTGAACCAGGCGGCCCAATGTGGAGTCGCTTTTGGAACTCGATGGGCGACGACAACGAATCCGTCATTTCTGAATCCATAACCCCATCCCAGTCAGCTTCAAATATTCCTCCACCTTCTCCGACTTCTCGAATGCGTCGCGGCGGCCGGATGTCACCTGTCGATGGCGAAACGAGCCCGTACGACTACGGCTCTGTTATCGACGATGGCTCGACTGCATCTTTCCCACGTGGACACGACGACAATGCCTATACATTCAAATTCAAATCACCAAACGGCAAGACACATCGAGTAACGGTCGACTATACGAGTCTGGATCTTGTGAGACAAGTTGTGGCATCAAAACTTCCAAAAGCGATCAAGTCGTTCGCACTATCATATGTAGACGATGATAATGACCATGTGATAATGTCCACAGACGAAGATGTAATAGATGCAGTGAGATGCGCACAAAGACAGGGAGTCAGCAAGGTCGTTCTATTAGTGACAGAGAAAAACGAGGATGACGATACTGAAGACGAGCACGAGAGTTCCAAGAGAAAGAAAAGAAAAAGCAAAAACAGAGATATTGACAATGGGTTTTCTATACCAAAAGATCTGTTATTGCCTGGTGCGATTACGGCTCTGGCTATGACGATAGTGGGTATATTTGCTATAGCGAAATTATCGCGCTGAGCGTGTTAGGGGTGTGTTCTTTGCATGGGTATTGTTTTCCTTTTTCTTTTTGGAGGCAGTGATGGATGGCGGTAATGTAATGAAGGGTTATTTTGTAGATTGATTATTTTGGTACGAACAAAAAAATATTGCAAATAATATCAAGAACAGAGATGACCTATCCACTATCGAATTTTTATTTGTCTATATATTTATATATTATTTGTCATCCTTTTTTTTTTCCGGCTACAAGCTTTTTGGTTATCTCTTTTAAGCTTTCTATATTATTAAGATTCAATATGCAGTGTAGAATATTCTCACAACATGCTAGTCGGTTGCACTTATGCAATATCATAAGGCTTTATCCGTTTTCTTTTCTATAATTTCCACTTGTTTATATTAGTCTTCCTCATAACCCAATTTAATAGACTTGCATTCAATTTCTGACTCTCCCCACTCTTTGTTTCTGATATCTAGTCTCTTTTTTTTTTCTTTCTTGTTGTATCTAGTTTTTAACTGTCATATTCATCCGCGGACATTTGAGTTTTTTTTTTTATTCTAATAGAGTTCTTGTGTTATATAATACTCTCCAATACGTGAACATTTATTTTGTAACGTTCACCGTACAACAAACAAGCATGTTTATCAAGCTCTTTCCAAGTATTATCAGTAAAAGCTAAATCGGCATGGTTTTTACAATATGAAAAAAAAAAAAAAAATTTATTGTGCGGTATCTGATATTGAATAACTAAAATGTGCTTGACAATGCTGGCTAGAGGACTATTTGGGTTAATTTGATTTTGGTTAAAAGTAATTACTAAGTTATTTTGGTTGGTGATGGAGTAGATGTTGTTGGCGGTGAAGTATTGTTGGAGTTGGCAAGTCAGAATCGACGCCAGTTCTCCTTTGCCTGTACTATCAATTATAATTTCGTGGCGATACAAGAATATCCGAGCAGGCATTGGTTTTGGTTCATATAACTTATTTTAAGGTAATTGGTAAAAGTAATGGTATCCTGCTCTAATTCCAAGAAATATTATCAATGCTAAATTTTCAGCATCTCGCTGGTTTGAGGGCAAAAGTAATGACGGTCGAATTTTTGGATCATGTCTATAAAATTGGTCAGCTACTTAACATTTGGTATGACTTCCTTTAGCTTTGATATATGCAAACATATTACTAATGCTGTTAACTCGAGATAATCTCAATAGTTCCAGTTGAGAAATTTCTTTCTTGTCGAGTTGATAAGATTTGGAGAAAGAACGTGTCATGAAAACAGTCGCTCTGGACATTCCATGATGTATGTTTTAAAGTCATTATGCCCAATAACATGGTGAACGTTACGTTCTTGTCTATGGATCGTTCAGATTGATATTCTTTCAAAGTTAGATTGCTGGATTAAATGTTAATAAGGCATCGTCTAAAAGACGATAGGAAGATAGCAGAATGCAGGATTAAAATACTGGATAGGGTCAGTAATATAAACAGAGTAATAACAAGTCACTTTAACAGTATTTTTATTGAATTATATTATTATGAATATTACTGTTGTACAATGGAATCTCGATATAATCACAACATTGACTATAGACAGGGTTGAACTGTAATACTATTTACGGCTACTATTGCGTTATTTACATTATAACAAATACGAAATGGCAAATAAATAATAGGTGGATAAATAATCAAATATTGCTTCCAAACCGGCATGCCAAGCAGCAAACTCCCCCATCTCTAACTAGCTTCAGGGACAAATCTTTTCACAAGTAACCAAGTCATCACCAAATCGGTCCCTCAAACTCGTCCACCTTCACCAGTGTCCGGTCACCCAGCAAACATTCCCCCGTCATCTAGAAGAAGTGGACACAACTTTGCGGAACCTAGTCCCAGCGCGGATATTGGTTATCAAAAGGATTGGCACCTTGGTCTCTTAAGCAAAGCGGTCTTTCACTGTGATTGGATGATCAATGAAATGTAACACAACATAGTGTCCATCCGTCTATCAAAATACCCCATCATCTGACTTTAAACGATTTGGTGGCCACGGAAAACAATTGGCCAAGAACAAGACCGACAAATTTCGAAACTGTACCTTCCATTCTACAAACTGTGGAAGTAATTTTGAAAACGGTGAGGTAATTTGCAACTTAGCTACTAATGCTTTTTTTGCACTCTACAGTCTTTAGCTAGACATTTCAAAGAATGCAAACCTTTACTTTTTTGCAAATGTCTTGGGATAGTGTCTCCAGCAATGACAATAAAAGTAAGAGAAAGGTGCAATGCTGTGATGTAGAAGGTATATGCAATTATGAACAGCATGGTGCTACAATAGTGTCAGATAGAGTAGCTATTCCAGAGGTGAACAAACATTTAAACTTGGTTGGTAAGGCCTTGTGCAGAAAACATTATAACAAACTAATTGTGAATGCAAAGAAATGTAAAAAGACCTGTGTATGTTCTCATCCCAAGCATGAGATATATGCATCTACATAGACAAGACTAAGACTAAGACTAAAATGGTTAGTGTTGCAACCAGATTTACAACAACATATTAATATTGAGCCTTGTACTATTGCTAAACTTTGTATCTTTCACTGTCTTGATCCAGACCATAATATAGGACTGCAAGGCTTCACAGGCAAAAATAATAACTACTATGACCCAGTATTAGTATTAACCCTACAATTAACATCAGATGATTAAATGCAGACAATTGATTGAGGAAATCCAGAGCATTTTGGACATCCCCCAACAACTAATGTCGAATGATCAAATGCAGACAATTGATCTAGGAAATCAATATGAATTCAAAGAAATGGGAGAGCATTCTGGGCATCCTCAAATCACTTCACACTTCTTACTCTAGCATCCATTACCATGGTTAGATGCACAAACAAACTACAGTGCAATCAACTTCAATAAGAAGCAACTTGTTTATCTGGGTGCATCTCTTGCCAAAATCTATGGAGTCCTTGGCATTTGACAGTCAGCAACTTGCAGACTGTGCTTGGGCTATAATATATTTTTTTTGGACTAATGTTCATTAGCACTGTCTGTGTTGAGTTGAAGTTTACACATATGCCAAGGGACTGCTACTCTATGTCCAGGCTTTCCATCTGAGAGTCCATGGTTGAGGTAATCCAGTCACAGATGGCTGGGCACTGAAAGACTTTATTTTGCAACAAGGACTGCTGCTTGTTTTAAGCTCTGAAAAGTTTGATCATTTCCCTGTCACAAGGAGTCATTTACATTTAACTGCTAAATGTATATAATATATTATAAAAATAGTTAGGTTTAGGACTTCTAGTTAGATGCCTGCTTGTAAAAAAGTTAAACATGTAAATAAATGATAAAGTATACTTACAATAACCACTCCTGTGGGCTGGAAAGTGAGGGGAGGTCTGAAGAAGAATGTAATGATAATTATCTGGCATGCACTATCTTGGTCGTATGATAGTGTACCAGATGTAGGATGCAATTATGCATTAGGAAATGTAGAATATTCTTTCTTGTATTTTCTCAACCGTTATGTCTAGTTTGTAACGTACATACACTTTACATAACGAATCGGACGTTGCTTGTGGTGAATACGTGGGCGCGAATACGCGTCTATTTATTATATAAGCACGAACTGAACACAACACGACCTTATAACGTTTACGACGCAACGAACCTTGCTTTGTCACAGCCATATTACAAACATATCCGTCTGCACAACGTTCTTGTCGAAACTCCAGGAAGACCGTTACCAAAATGCGCCTTGCACGGCCATGAATAAATTGACACGCGTCTGATAACATAAATATCTATGCAACAAAATTTGCCAACCAATAGTAAAGCGTAAATATATTTGTAATTAACACATTACATCATAATTGCGACAATAGTTTGTGTTGTCATATTGTTTCTGTAAGGAGCAAGTAAATTTTTTCAGTGGGTTAGCACACCTGATAAGTCACGCGTATAGTATCAACGTTGCTATGTGGTTAAATGTTCTCTAAAACCCCTGTTGCCATCAACGCAATTACATATTATCCTGTTAACATGAAAACTTAACCTGAAAACATTTTAATGTTTGCTAGCGAAATATGAGCTCCTTGAATATTTTTTGAATGCCTCACTAACTATATCTAAGATTAGCGACTATAAATTATTTGTTGTAATAATCCGGAAATAGTAAAAGTTTTCAACATCCCAATTTTCAAACATCGCTTCTGAGTTCTCGTGGCACCATCAAGAGCGGCGCAGAACACGTCCGCGTTTTTTGTACATATCGGTATGCGTCACAATTTTGTACTTCGGAATCTCGTGGAAATATAGCTAAATCTAATTTGCTCATGGTCAAGCGCTCTTGAATATTATTGTGTATTCTAAAATTGGTGTTGCTTTTATAGTAACAACTCGTTTATTCGTCGTATTTATTCATTACACCAAATTTCTGCACATCAATTACCATAGTGGTTAAATTGTGAGGGTTCTAATACTAATACTATTATAGTAACGTTTTTCTGTTGCTTCGTAGGCGTCTGGGATCGCAACAACGTCAGCTGCCAGCTCTAACACAGAAGTGATGATACCCTCGGGACTACCAGCAAACGTCGCGCACTGGAAGCGAGCCCATGTGCAAGAGTTTCTCGGCGCCAACAAAGACGCGTCTGACCTTGATGATGAGGACATCGACTTTGTCAGACAAAACAAAATCGCTGGTGTGAACTTCCTCAAACTGACAGGCAAAAAACTTGAAAGATGGGGAGTTGCAGGTGGATCAGCAGAACGCATCATAGAGCTCGTTGAGAAGCTCAAGGTGAACAAGGGGCTCATCAAGCGTGGTAAGCGAGGGACGAGGGGACGGGTGCAATACAATGAATGTTATTCTTAGCCACTCATTGTGACGTTGATTAATTTGCACCTTTTCGCCTTATTTTCGTTTTTCATCTTTCGATCAGGAGCCCAACAACAATTCAGTAAGTATCTATGATGTGGGTGCAGAATGCATGCAATTTGAAGGAAATATAGGATATGCTTGCTGTACATATCCAACAAGCACTCACTGGAACTTCTAATCCAATTTGGTTTTCTCTTAGTGCTAGTTGAAGAAATTATCGAAGACATTGTAAAACTCTTTCCACGCAGCCAGCCCAAAAATCTTGACAAGTTGAAAATGCCATTAATGGATCGTGATGTCGCCCTGCCAGTCACAACCATATCGAGAAATGTTAATAATAACCTTAAGGACTCTAGGGCTAAAGTGGATTATTCCTTCCTTGTTAGTGGAGGAGCCCCAGGAATAGGTATAGATGAACTTGGTCCTAAAAATATCAATTTTTTGCAAATTTGACCCTGAAAACTTTCTCATTAGGTAAAACGCGCTGGGGCGAAGAGCTGTTCAATTATATCCAAAATTGTTGGGTCCCCCCCTGCAAAATGGACTGTTGACAGCCAGCCACATTTTGAATACATTTATCTGGACTTTGGGAACAGTTGTGCTCTCGAGAATGAAGATTACAATCTGAATCCAGCAGTGCTTATTGGCTTGCGGGTCGCATATGCATACTTCATATGTGGCAAATATGAGATGTCATTTGGACAATTTCAAATGAGAGCCACACCCTGCATTGAAATGTTCAATATTGGTGATGTCTTCACCAGCATTCGAAGGAAGCTTTCTCTCCAAGACACACAGCATTTGTTCATATTTCTTCATATTGACGAATTTCAGATGATTGACACATGGAGCAGGAACTCTGAAAACTTGATGAAACCACATTTTAAGAACATTATCAGTAAACTAGCACAGTTCATGTTTGGCCCTCCAAAGACAACATTTGTCCAGACCTTTCTCTCAGGAACAGCTCCACAAGCTGTCATTGCAACAAAGGAGGCATCCAAGGTTTCTTTCGAATTTGTCCCATGTCCACTATTGTCAACCCCATCTATGGTTCGGATTGTGGATCATTATGCAAGGATTTTCAATGCAGAAACATTCAGGGATGGCAAGTACAAATGGAAACTCTGTCGACCACTTCTTTATCTTCTGGAGGACACAGGAGGATTGCCTCGGGCTCTTCAACATCTCTTAGACATTTGCTTTCATGTTGTCAGCACTGATGGATGTAAATTCTTTCGTGCTATCAATGACCATCCCTATGGCAAAATTTTTGAGCATACTAAGGCAAGAATTCAGCAATTGTATAACATCTACAAAGTTGTGGAGGACAATAGGCATCTCGCTTTAGAACTTGTACGTCATTCCATCGAGGGAATCACTGTCACAGTCAAGCAATGCCTAGATCAAAATGATCATCTCCGTACCATCGAGAATCTAGAAAAGGATGCACATATCATTCTCAGCAGGGACAAGCACAAACCAGATCAGTTTTTTATCAAAATGCCATTCCTGTTTATTTGCCTCTACAATGACATTTTGCACATTATACCGTCACCACTTGAAAAGACATTTTTTGACAACATTTATTGGCAAGAATGGGAGCTTTTTGTAGCACATCATGAGGCATTTCGCACCAACCTGTTCTATGAATGTGGAATATGGACATTACGTCTGCGTGACTTATACCATGGAGCATATGGGAAAGACAGCGTTTTGGATATTGTTGTGAAGCTAAAGAAACTATCTGTTTGCTTAGCTAATGAGCAGTTCCCATCTTCGAAGTTAACAAACAAGGCCAACAACCAAGCCATCGAGTGGGAAGATGGAAGCATTGTTATTGTCAATGGTGTGTCAGCTCAGTTTGGAGATTCATTTGTTGTTAGGGAAACTAATGATGGCACTGTACTTCTAATGGTTGCACAAGACAAATTGATGCATAGTGCAGGGACATACAAACTGCACCAGGTCTTTGAAGAAATCATCAAGAATACTGAAGCCATTCTATACTCCCCTGAAAACATTCTTTATCACCTTGTTCACTATCGTCTGATCACAGTATTTTTCATTACACAACCATATGAAGGTGATCCTGCAGAGTTGCCAGACAATTGTCTCCTTATTGCAAGTGACAATTTTGAAGAATATTTTGGTCCCGTTTTTTCAGCACGTGCTGCCTTTGCATTTTCCCAAAGTCTCAACCCTAACTTTGCAGAGCCAAGAAGGATGAGTGCAGTTCTTCCTGGCATCAGTGAACAAACTGCCAAGAGTATTATTTCAAAACGCCCATATTATAATGAGGAGGACTTCTACAAAAAGAATTCAAGGATTAAAAAAGAATCCACAGAACTCAGTTTTTATCCATTCAATTTAGAATAATATGCACCACAAGTCTATATAAAGCTTCAAAATCATCATTCGTTTTTGATGTGTTAGCATGTTCAACAGTTTCTACATGTTGTGTAATCCAAGGCCTTTATCTTGCAGCTAAGAACTGTCTAATGCTAATATGTGGTACAAGTGTTATAAAAATAAAAGTACACAAACTTACAAGATGATAAAAATTATTATATAGGGTTATATTGTTACGGTCGGGTGGTCTGGGGTTTGGGAGAGCAATTAATCTGTCGCGTAGGGGTGTTCTTCCGACTGGGGGATGTTACCAGATTAGCTAAGTGCTACCGCCCTTAATACGGTAGTTGTTCAATTAAGACTGAATCTAATCTACAAGTGACCTATTTATATAATTACATTAAATGTGCACTTCTCAACTCCCTATCCGAGCTTCAAATCATTCGTGATTTCAAATAAGGGTACTGTGATGCTACGCTATAAACAGTGACGTATTCTCTCCTAAATTTCTGCCATTTCTCCGACGGCGCAGTAACACAAGCGCATGGTACAAGCAGTGCAAGTCATACGGGAAGTTATAGTACGGTTGTACAGCACCACTGCTGCACCACTGAAGCACCACTGCAGCAGTGCTGCAAAAGTCATAATTGAAATAGTTGCTAAGAATAGATCAATTAGTCCACTCGAAAGAT